CATAGGAATAAGGCTCTATGGTATAACTCTTAGCAATAAGTTCAATTTAGGATGTGATCTTGCACATTTTATAAATGTCTGGATGACATTAGTGTTGCTGATCTTTGGTTGGCATAAATAGCTAAGGAAGGGCTCCATAGAACACGTACTTGATTGCAGGAGTAAACTTGTGTGAGAGCGTGAAAGCCAGGGAGAGCAGAAAGAAGTATCCCGAGCAGCACACTTGTCGCTGAACAGTTGCGGTTACTTATATGAAACTTGTTACGGTGCACGTGTGCTCCTTGGGGTGCTCTTCGTATTGGAAAAGTGACTTAATTTTTCCAACGTAAGAAATAATGCGGTAAAAGTCGATTAACAGTCTTAATAGGGAAGAGCACAACTACGGCATCAGTGCCCATTTCCATCATATCGAATAGAAACCGTCCATTATTTTAATGTGTTCAATCTATTAACAAAAATTATTTATGAGGTTGTTAATCCCATCAATAATACAACACTCCTGAATGATGAGAAGCTCATACAAAATAAAACATAAGTAGGTTTTATCTTCTCCTAAAAAAAACAAAATCACCTGGTAGAATTGATCTAGAATGTTATGGTCTTGATTGTTGGAGTATTTCGGAGCTTGCTTTGTTTGGTTGGAGTGGAGAAGGGATGTAGAGTTCAGTAATATTATACGTTATGCAGAGGTACGCCTCTGTATGGTTGGGCTAGAATACATCCCTGTATTCGTCTAGTAGTATTGGTGAACTATAGGAACGAGAGGATGATCACAAGCGATATCGAGTTAGTTGCGATACGAATATCACTGGAGGTGGACGACAGTAGCTGGTTGAAACAGAACGAACCAAGAGGCATCGGGTGATTCTACATACAGAAGTGATGTTGAAAAGTATGTATGTTAAGTGAAAATTTTCAAATTCTTATCCGTTGTATGTGGTGCCGACTGTTCTAACCTATGCATAGTTACGCTCAGCTAAATTTATTTACCTTTTCGTTCCTCTGTCCTCGATTGGAAATATCCATCTAATTCAAAAAGATCATTTCAAAACTTACTAAATACACGTCAATCAAGTATTGCACTACTGCTTGATTGAAAGTTTCAGTACATTATCAATGGTGTATATTTGCATCGATAATGTATTGGAGCGGGGTTTATCATGTGTGAAAGTGACTTCAGAATGCTTGCGTTCTGGAAATGGGCTATTGTAGCTGCGGTAGAGCTGTCACCTTCTAACTCCAGGGTTCAAGCTTCTTGCATTCATAAGAAATGATTGCAGGCAGATTTTATCCATAATGCCACTGCCAGATAGTGGAAGTTAGGCCACATACTATTAATAATCTTTTACACAGGCGCAAAGGAGCAACAGAATCGAGCTGACAACGTTTCTTAATTCCAAAATCTCAAGACTGTTTTGAATAATATGTTTAGGTGATGGGCAGCAACAACAGACAGATAAACTACTTACAGCTTCTATTTATTAAATGCTTGATATAACGATGGCCAGCAACGCTGGGTGGGCGTATCCTATGGCTTACCCTCCCTACTAACAAAAATCCACCCTCCCCGTGACACTTATGAGGGGTCGTAGAGTTCACTGCAACCCTCTTAAGTAAGTGTCGGACTAACATTCCTCCCCTTTCCCCACCAGATGCAAGGACGTGGCCAGGACAGCTCTGGTCTGTTGGAGGGAGACACATCCTTTATCTAAGAAGTAGTTATTAATCACAAATTACTATCTAACAGCAATGGATGAAGTAGGGTCTCCTTTTTAATAACAGATTTATGATACACAAACTATTATTGCCGCCGATAGCAGGCAATCTTGCAGGATATCGGGATCCTATAGGCCCTATCTGATTGCTGGACACACTGCATGGATTACCGAAGATGCTATTCGGATTACGAAAAGGAAGACCTACGATTGACACAATCCGGACAGTGATCGAGAGAACCGATACGAAGTTGAGACAGAAATGTAGGAGAAATCGATATTACGCAGCTATAACGACAAACGATAACCGAAAAGTATGTGAAGGATACCCAGCTCCTATTTGAATAACGCACATGAGGGTTAACAATGCATTCAATAGCTGGAAGGACGGTGGGAGTGACGCAAGGATCCATCCTTGGTCCACCGCTCTGGAACAGGATGTACAACGGTGTACTGATGCTTAAGCTACCTAATACCATCGGCCATCGACAAACGTAAACAGTACACCGTTGTTTTGCTTTAAGCTAGTATTCCTAATTGTATTTTTTGATATACTAGATTAAAGGAGTACAGTGCTGCTTTGTAAGTCTATCGATGGTATAAAGGTTTCGGGATCGTTGGCTTTGCTGATAACGTCGTCTTGCTGGTAGCAGATAAGTCGCAAATCTATTGCAAAAGGTCTAAAGGACAAAAGGTGCAAAGGATGTCGACGTTCAAAATATTGATCCTTTCTTTTTTCCTTGATTTGTTTTTCGTCGATCTTGTTTTCCGTGCTGAGCACCAATGCTACCGACGCCAGGGAGGCAGCTTCCATACCTGGTCCCTACCTATCGACCCATCAACTCATGAACCGGGGACCAACGGCTTTACTTCGCTGTGATCAGAGATGTTATGCCTCTGAAAATCCCGGCTGTGCTGACTGGGATTGAACCCAGGCCTGCTGGGGTGAGAGATAATCACGCTTACCACTTCTCCACCGGTGCCGCTAATCCCTTCTTTTGTTTTTATTTTAAGGAATGTGTGTCTTTCTAAAAGAGGTAATTAAATTGATAATTATTTTATAATCTCTAATGCAACATAATAGTAAATCTCCAAACAAAAATGCAAAGATACATTTTGTATGATAATTTTGGCCAATTTTAATGACATTTACTGTGATAGGGAATTCAATAAATATAATAGTTTCTATTATCTGAATACCGTGTCCTTTGGAGGAGCACAGTATTTATCAGCAGCTGATTGTGATTATGGGATCGTGTGGCTTCATAGCAGATCATAGAAATATTAGATTTATTGAATTTCCTATAACAGTAAACGGCATTAATTATTATCAAATAAATAACATATAAACAAATATTTTCCCTGTGAAATAAAACTTTCTTCTGAATTAAATGCAAGATGAACATTTCAAAAGATCCTATCTTCATCGAATTTTTCTTTCGTTAATAACCCAGCTGCAAAAATATTCCCTGTTGTGAATAACGTTTGGTACACTAGATGAGAACCTCCTTTATCAGTCTATGTGACTTAGCACGAAATCAGTTTGCATAGCCGTGGTTATCATAAGAGAATGTCCGTGAAGAGAATCGATCAAAGCAGTTTGGCACTTTTGAATTGTTCATCTAGATTCCTTCTAAAAGGTATTATCTGGTATTATCATTATCAACGAGCTTTCAATGTGAACGAGAGAGAGAGAGAGAGAGAGGGAGAGAGATGGAGAGAGCGAGTAAAAGAGAGAGAAACTAGAGGCCGGTGCTTTTGGTTTATATGAGAATGAGAGCTTACTTTTGCAAGGAGTCAGATTATACGCTTCAGTCTGCGACAAATTGTTCATCTATAAGGTTTTATTAAATATACGGTTAGTTTCTTAGAAAATAAGATCCCAGCTCTTAAGAAGATGTTCGTGATTCGGTTTGATCGGGACAGTGGATTGTGAATAAATGCTCATCCACTTTTTGTCACCTTCAGTGAAGAGTGGGTTGATGTGGAAACAAGTTTTTCGTTGTGGGTATTCCGTTTCGTTTCATTACCTTCGGAGAGGACAATAGTGTGCATATCGTTTCCTCTTTGTTTATGGGGTTAATTAAACTTGTTTTTTTTTTCGTTAGGTGTTGTGATTTTATATTATCGGTACAGTTGAAAACCGGAAAACCCCACACGCGACAATTGATTTTATTCTTGTTCTGTACGTTAAACGCAGTGTCGGACATAGTGCGCTGTAATCGCACAATGATGCGCTATAATGCGCACTATGTCCGACGTTGTGTTTAACGTACAGAACGAGAGTAAACTCGAATGCCGCGTGTGGGGTTTTCTAGTGTTCAACTTGACCGACAATATATTAATTTAGATGTGTAGTTTAGGAAGAGTTTAACGCACGGATTGAGGCGTTTATTTTCAAACATTTTTACTTGTGTTATTTGCTCATTTTTAAACCCTTTTTGTGTGCTAATTTTTCAACTAAACAGCGTTACGTTTTTCACTGCCGGTCAAAGTTTAAAAAATATATTAGTTAATTATATTAGAGGTAGGTGAAAGAAAACATAACTGTTTATGTTAATGGTTGCATATGAAGTCTATTTGAGGTTTAATTTGAAATCTTACATGCATAGTTATGCTCAATTGCATATGCATAATTTAAATAATGAAACTGTTTACGTGGTATATGGACAGTTTGTACTTCTTCTCTTGAGGATGAGTTTTTAAATTTAGTTCAATTCATTGAATATAAACGTAAATTACTGATCAACATACTGAGAGAAACAAATGTGCATACCACTTCAGGTATTGACAATACTTTCCAAACTTTCAGGTTTGATCGCACTATGCATCGAACAAGTTATCACTTTCTACCACCGAACCGGTTCGTTCATCCAAGCTTGGCTATGATGTCATGCTATGAAAAAACCCATCTTCGGGGATTCCACTCTGCTAGTTAACATGCCTGCCGGTTGATAGTGCTATGTAGTCGGATTTAAGGTTGTTGAAAGCGCCTGGAACGGAGACTGGTACAGGGGAGACTAGTTCAATTCCATGGATTTGAGTTCATCTTGTTTATTAAAATGCTGATAAGAGAAATAGAAGCTTTTCGAATAACACATGTGCCTTGTTTAGATGGTGATTTTTGCGTTATTCAGAAAAAACCGATAATGCAATGATAGAACACAGAACATTTCCAACCGAAGTCAATCGAATTGTGAAAGGTTATCACAATCCCACTTTGGTCGTGAGCAGTTTTGCAACAGTCAAGTTCGTGATTTAATGTTTTATTTTTTGTGGTTTTTTTTTCAGTTTCATAGAGGATGATCGCTCTTCGGATAGGGCTACTTTTAGCCCTCGGTTTAACCTTGGCTTTAGCCGAAGACGAGGTTATCGTATGTATTTTCTTTCTGTCTGCTTTAAATAGGCCAATTTCGTAATATTTTGTTTTTAATTGTTTGTTTCTTTTTTTATTGGGTGCTGACAGAAATGTCCTGGAGGTGAATGTGTGAAGCTACATCTCTGTCGAGATGGTGAAATAGTAACGGACGGATCTAATCTGATTGATATTCGGTGAGTAGAAAATATTTTAACAAAGCTGGAAAAGGCTGGTTTTATGGCTACCGTTCAGATCTATGAACACAATATTTCTATTAAGCGAAATATTATACAGTTAACTCTCGTTATCTTCAAAGGTCAATCATAAAGGATATTCATGGAAGAGAGGTCTATTTATGAAATTTGTACGGTAAAAATAATCTAATCATCACGTAGTGGAAGGTATTGCTGATTGCATCTGAAACTGGACTGCCCCAAAAATGCAAAAAGTGTAATAAAAGTGCACCTTTGTGTCAAATCGTGTTGGTGTCTTCGGAGCACTTATTGCTTGCATCATAAGAAATTAGTGCACCGAAGACACCAAGACGATTAGACGGAAGCTCGCACTTTAATCACACTTTTTAATAAGTGAAAACGCGCTTATTAGTCCAGTTTGGTGTGAGATGCGCAATATAATTTCACTAATTAGCTTGGTCCTAAAATCGTTATTCCACAATCCGCTAAATTTCTGCTGATGTGATTAGTAAAATATGTATGACACCGTAAGGCACCGAAATCCAGACACTTAGTTCACAATTCACACTTTTAAATGCTAATTATTAATGACATCCATGCTCAAAATAGCAGGTAAATTTCATGATGGCCCAGTTTTCCATTCGTACATATTCATCACCATTAGTATGCGCAGAAGAGATTAGAAACTGTTTTCAAACTCGCACTGTCAGCAATTTGGTTCATTTGAGAGTTGGTTTTGGGTTTTTAAAACACCTTAGATCAGACCTGTCCAGCCTTTTGAAACTTGCTTTTTTATTTGCTGTATCTATTCGATGAACATGTTTCAAGCTAAAATTTGTCCATTTCTCATTCATTATGGACTAAAATTCATAATGATGAATACAATTGGACTAGCATATCATTGCTGAGATTCTGAGTGCACGTCCGGCCCACGGGTCGCACGTTGGACAGCGCTGACATTTATGAATAAAGAATGTATTGTCTCCACAAGTGAAAACTGCACACCAAAAAATTCTGAATTTTACTGGCGATGTAAACATCCATGCATGCAAACATTCATACATGTAAACTTCCTTTTCATGTAAACTAGCAGCTTGCAAGAAATGTTGCAAACAAAAGTGGACACTTGCATACAATATATGGAATATTGCATGACATGTCTCATAAATTTACACGATCTTTAATCTAAACTTGTATGATATATGACGCTCCATTTATGTGCATCATAGTAACGGAAATTTACACTACTTTTTTTAGCTGTGTGGGAAAACCCTGTATAACGTATAGAAAGAGAGTTAAATCGATTTTTTTCTAGTGGTTTTTTTGTTAGTTTTTAGCTTTGACGACTGTTTGGTTTTAAGGCACGTTTGCAGGCCAAATTTGCATAACTGAGCATTATTGGCTTTATACAACTAAATGAAAGTTAAAATGCACATTATTGATTTTCAATCATAAATTTCTGAGCTCATTCAGAGAGTCAAAACCTTGACAACGTTAAAAAAGTGGATGGATAGCCATTATCGAATGTGCTGTCATTTATTTTTAATCATTCAAAGATAATAAATGAACATTGGTTATGGTACACAGTTCGAAAAAGTAGTGTAAATTTCTGTTCAATATAATGCACATAAATGGAGCGTCACATATCATATACGTTTACATTATATATCATGTAAAGTTCTGACACATTTCATGCAATGTAGCAAATATTGTATACAAAATCCCATCTTTGTAAACAACATTGTTTACAAGTTGCTCGGTTGCGTGAAATTAAATACAAGTTTACGTGAATGAATGTTTACATCACAATTAAAATTCAGAATTTTTATCTGTGTAAGTTTAAAGATTTTACAGGTTTTTCATGTGCTTTGTGTGAAACAAATTATATTTTTAACCACTTTGTGCAACGCGCTTCAGTACCTTTTTATTATTTTTTCGATGCCTTTTCGCACAAACCCAATGAAATTCAATAATTCGTTTAAATCGGTAAATAACATCTCCAGCTACATTTTATGACCAACAAAAACTTAGTGTGAGCATGGATAAAAACATAGGTGCTCGATATTGTTGACCAATTTTAGGAGTGTACATTCTTTACGCACGATTTTTAATAGTCAAGAGTAATCTCATCGAGAGTATGACTCTCTCGATGAGCGCGATCATCTTCGACCAAGAAAAGTTTAAAGGAAAATTGGAAAAGTCAGAAAACTATCTTCTCTTCTTCTATATATACAACAGAGTGGCATACATAAGGCCGCGGATGTTTGATAAAAACATAATTTAGGGTGGAATCGTGAATGCTCGAAATTATTTAAAACAAAAATTCTATTTTTAGCGGGACGAAGTTCGCGTTAATATATAATGAAATGAATTAACTAATCGCCCGGTATTCGGTGAATTTTGGTGCTTTGGATGTATCTTTTTGAATAGCTTATGTAAAATATGGGAGTGGCTCATTTTGCCACCCATTGTTTTGTCCAAGAACATAACTCAACCTTTCACAGTTTTGCTTACAAAAGCTGATTGGCCCTTTTCAACTGTTGTTTGAGAATATGCCCACCAAAAAGTTTGCTGTATGGGTCATTTTTTCGCCAACGTAAACGATAAAATTTATTTCCCCTGAAGGAGCCTGCTAAAGCAGCTTAAGCCATAATACAAAATTTAGCTCACTTAACTGCAAAACTAATAGTCGGAATACCGAGTCAATAATCAATTTTTGAGTACCATTTACTCGAATTTGGCTTAATTTACAAATAAACCCTTTATTATTAGGTAAAATAAGATCACCCCAAAAATTGATGCATCTGATCAAATTTTACGATCAAAACATGTTCTGTGAGCCGAACTCAATTGGATTAATCAATACCGCAATTTGTTTGTTTTTAATTATAGTTTTATACGGATCAATCAAGTACATACTGTACTAGATACACAAAATAAAATACCATGACATTTTTTTTTGTTTTTAAATGAAAGTTCAAAGAGCTGTTACTTTTCAGTATGAGCATCAACATTTCTGAAGTGTTCAAGGTATATCAGTATAATTTATGGCATGATTTGTCTAGTCTGTATGAGGTTAGAGCAATTTTTCACATCGTATCTTATTTAAATTCATTTTTACAATCTGTTGTTTCTGGAATACAATGACCCAAATTAATTATTATTTCAATAATTTCAAGTAAAAACAATTTTTCTTTAAACCATTTAAAATTTACTAAAATCTGTTCTCGATTTGTTTTTTTTTTGTATATGAAAACTGGCTAATTTTTCAATTTAGCGGCTTTGACTTTTCGTTTTGCAGAAAATAGTTTCGACATGCTCGGTCGTACAGGGTATTTTTTCTTAATTGAAATCCTAAAGTTATTTGCTTGGATTTGAAAATAATGTAATTGTAAATGCCATGTTTTTGAAAAATTTTTGATATTTTTTTTTAACTTTTTCCGGTTTTAACGGAATTTAGTAAATTTTGAGTAGTTTTAAAAAAATATTTTTTTTTACTAGTATGTTTATTTGGAAGGCTCAATCGCGTTAGCTTTACGGAGCCGATAGTTCATTGTTCTTTGTTTGTAACAAAATTCACTTAATTCTATGACTAGTAGAAGTTGGGCTAGAAAAAAAAATAATGTTCTCACTACAAATTTTTTTTTTAAATTATTCAAATTTTCAGATTGAAAAATGGTGGTCAAACAAGAAGCGATTTATTAAAATGTATCTAACTTTACACTGACTTGGCCAATCAGATCAGATCTGTGGCAGAGGAACAATCAAAATGTTACAGAGGAATCTGACAAAACATCTTCTATGTTTTCTCTCGATAAGACTTTTTTTTATCACGGATGCACATTTTCCATTTTTGGATATTCAACCAAAACGTATTAAATTTGCACAGCTCAAATCCTTGAATAATAAGAATGGTGCTTTTTCTTGTGATTGTATGTTCAGTTTGATTTTAAGTGGAAAATTTCGTTAGGGGCAGGGTTGTTAATGACGTATGCGTATTCAATGCAAATTTCCATTGAATACGATAACGGTGACGTTTGAAAATAATGATTATATTTTTTTTTTCAAAAAATCATAACTTGAAAACGGTATAGGAGAAATGGCTCTAAGATTGGGCCCATCGCTAAAAATCTGCTATTTATCAATTTTACCTAGATGAATGCGTCATTGGGACGGTACTTATTTATAGTTTTGGTCGCTATTGAAATTTAGTCGATTGCTGAATTTATGTATGGGCCCAAATTAGGGGCATTTAGACCGATATTACATCCATTTCCTCTATATAAAGAGCGATGCATTTCGTGAATCTACATGGGTGGAACGATGCGTGGACATACCGTACTAAACGCTCCGAGTTATGTAAATGTGAATATATAATATATAACATAGTATAATTGAAACATAAATGCCAAATGCCTCCAATGTCACCTAAATTCCTGATTTATAGATAAAAATTGAATGATCTCACCAAACCATCAACTTTTCCGGACTGCTCTATTCCACGATTTTCTCCAGTAGCCCTTTAGTATAGTCTCTGGTGGATAGAATTTCGATCTATCAAAAAGTGGAACCAATTCAAGATATTTTAGACCAAGAATTGAAATAGGAACTATCAACTTTTATAAACAAAACGTTGATTATTCTTTCCACGCCAATCGAACGAAAATTACCGGCATCATCGGATAGGTGAAACTTTCCTCAACACAAAGATGGCGTGGAGCCGGCGCCGGTGGTGTAGTGGTAAGCGTAACTGCTTTCTCACCCCAATGGGTCTGGGTTCAATCCCAGCCGAGGTCGGTGGGATTTTTCTAAGGCATAAAAATCCCTGGTCACGTCTTCCTTCGGAAGGGAAGTAAAGCCGTTGGTTCTGGTCCATGTGTGTTGAATGGGTGCGCAGGTGTGGAAGATGCATTTCCTGCACATTCGGTTGCCGTCAATGGATGGCAATCGATGTCCGTCGGTGATTGGCACTCAGCTGGGTGGCATGCCGCCATGTTATT